TAGGCTGGGACTTCCTGCAGAACCCACTGGTAAATTACTCAGCTAACTGGCGTGTGTATGTTACAGTGAACGCATGTCAGTAGCTCAGTGATTGGAACTTGGTGTCCTACCGCCACCTAAACAGCCCACCTCATAGAAGATGCTAGACACATGGGGCTAGCAGGTGCAGAGAGCACCAAGTTTGAGCCACAGTTCTAGCTTTTGAGAGCTGAGATCAAAGGAAACACATGGTAGAATCTCTCCCCTTGCCACCATGGGATAGGCCTTACCATCACTGAGCAGAGTGTCTGTATGTATGAACCATAGCATGGGCAGAGCACACAGCCTGGCATGTGTTGGCGAGTGCATACCAGGATCCCTGAAGACTAGCGATCACAGCCTCATCCTCATACAGATGTGGTCATTACTCACAGTCCTTTTCATTTCAGGGGTTTTTCTGTAAGACCGAGGAAGACTTTAACGATTGGTGTCAGCAAGTCAAAAAGGTCTGTAGCTGCCCCTGTCCAGAGCCAAGATGAAACTTCTGGGGACCCAGGCAATGAGGTGGCTGGGGTAAAGGGAGCCTCTTTGCATGGCCTAGCTAGGAGCCCTATTTACTGGTTGCATGGGGAGTTTTGTTCCTGCCTCACACATGTGGGCAGACTGAATGGGACAGGGTGCCTCACATTGCTGTTTCTCTTAGCCATGTCTAGGTCGTAATTGGCCATCTTTTACCTAAGTTTTGCACATTAACTTTATGGTAGAGTTCTGGTCCACTCACTTGCCTCTTGAGGTTCTGGGGTGGCAATAAATTGTAAGCCAAAGGCTGCCCCTGTGCCAGTTGCATCCTGCTGTCTTCCCTGTGCCTTTTGTGATCATGTATGCCTGATGGGGTAACAAGCCATTACCAGTGGGGCAGGCCCGTGCTTTGTTGACCACTGTGTTGGTCTATGCTGTAACCTTTAGTATGGATTCCATTTCCATTTTCTTATCTGTGAGGCTATAGTAACTGTCAAGGTGCATCTAACAGCCATGTCTCACTGACAGCTATCCCTGCTTGGTGGTGCCCTACCTATGTTTGAGCTAGTGGAGCAGCAGCCTTCCCATCTGGCCTGCCAGGACGTCCTGAACCTGTCCCTAGGTGAGTGCTGAGGTTGCAGAGTCAAGTCTGACTGGGATAATCTCCTGTCCCGATCTCTTCTTTTGTGTAGTCTGTGCCTGACACAAGCCCTCAGGTCTCGGTCTTTTCCCTTTTAACCATTGTTTATATGAGCCCAGGTGCAAATAGTTGGTTGCCCCTGTACCTCAAACCCTGAGCTCGGCAGCAGCACAATATATCCATAGTCTGCTAGGGACTGTTGAGCCAGACATGTTCCCACAGGTTCCTTGGGTACTGTTGAGACCAGGCACAACAGGTTTGTGATGATGAAGTCTGGTCTAAGAGCCACTGGGGATGAGCAGTCCTGGTTCCTTGGCCTATAGCTAGTGTGCCTGCAGGGGGCAGCCTGGGTCCTATGGGCCAGCACAGGTAGAGTTCAGGGGCTGGCCTTGGGCGACAGTGGAGGGCAGCCTGGTCGGACCTGCTCATTCCTAAGCTGGTGCAAGGAGGGGATGCCCTCATCCTCCTGAACTGCTGCCAGGAGTCAGGTGCCATTCTCCTTCCTTTCGTGGACTTCCCATCCCTCTTTGGGGCCTTGTCTGCACTCCTTTGTGCCTGTTAAGACTGCAGTCAGGAGGGGCTGTACAGGGCCTAGCAGACCTATTCTAGTTTGTCCCCCTCTCCTCAGCCAACACACACCTACACCAGCTCCTGAGAGATGCCTAATGTTCTATCTTGTTCCTTCCAGATTCTTCTGATGTAGAGAGACTGGAGAGGTTCTTTGACTCTGAGGATGAAGACTTTGAAATCTTATCCCTCTGAAAATCCTAGGGTTTGGGGATGGCCTTCATGGCCCTCGTTGGGGTGCTTTGAGAACCCAGACCTGCCTTGGGCACTCAGTGTCTGCGCATTCCATCACCCAGCCCACCCCTGCCAGTGCTGTGCGGCTGTGCCACCTCTGTCAGAGGGCCTGCTCTGCTCATGGACCAAGGACTGCGGTGCCTGGAGTCAGACTGCCTAACCCCAAACACAGCAAAGGCCTCTCCACATGAGAAAATCGCCCATCAGAAGGCCTGGTCAGGAAGTGCGGTGAGCCAGGAGCTTCCAGAGTTCTCCGCTTGACACTGCCAGCCCCAGCCAGCATATCAGCTTTGGTCCTGCTTTTTCCTGGGCACCTGGTCTGTGGTTTATTTGGAATTAAAGCCCTGTTTGGAGTTGTTTAATGAAGACATGAATTTCTGGGGCACTTCCCAGGTCAGTCTTAGAAGACCTGCAGGTTGATGTATACAGAGTAACAGTCACGTATGGCCTCATACTGCTGGGCAGGGTGAGCATTTGGGCTGTCATCTGCCCCGTGTGGTTCTCAAGGGCTACCTCAGTAGGAGAGCACATGGAAAGAATTACAGCAAGGCTGCTGCTGGCTTTGGAGAGAAAGTATTCTGGTGGGGCATTTGGAAAACCCAAAGATACTGGTGTGCATGGACACAGTGTGGACACCTGGACCCTGGAGCAGCTGACAAGCTCCCGGGTCATCTGGAGCCGTGGTCCTGATTCCCATTAGGACCTCACTAGGGAAGAGCTTTGTTTCCTGTAAGGGGCTGATGCATTTCAAGACACACCACCTGCTGCTGTTAGCTTGCTACCCAGCTTCCCTCTGGGAGGAAAGGGAGGGGAGCAGAGCTGCTCTTTGCTTGTGACACTGTGCCTGCTGGTGGTAGGGTACACACTGCTACTTGAGCCTTCTTCCATGTTCTTGCCCTTCTCAGAAACCCTCCTGGGTCACAGAGAATTTCTTGGTTTGGGGCCAAAAAGTTAAAGAGCTATGGCTTTTAGTCCACAATAGAGTATATTTAAACGGAGCTGGTAGCTCCAGGCACCAGCAGGTGCAGTGTCCAGACCCTCCTTGGCGCTCATTCCCATACCCGCCACCTTCTAATCCTGGCTTTCTGGGCCTTCAAGCTTTGATGCTCTAGGTCTGCTGTCTTAGAAAGAGGCCTTTCCTTCGCCCTAGAAGATATGAACAGGGCATTGCCGCTTGGGGTGGCCCTTGCAGCTTTTCCTAAAAGCCCTTCCCTAGGACCCTGTAAACGGGTGAGGTTGGAGCTGCTCTCTGATGGCATATGCCAGATGTGACAACTCAAGAGTGGCCCACAAAGTGTTCATGACATAATTTATTTCCTTACACTCTCTGTCTCTACTACATCTTGTCCCTTAGCTTCAGGTGGGATGGGATGGGGGAAGGCCCATTCCTCTGGGGCTCCACTTCCTGAGTCCAGTAGCTATTGTGCTGCTGTGGCCCAGGGTCTTGCTGCAACTCCTGCTGATGGTACCAAGGGCAGATGTGTGGAGCAATACAACCTGAGGGAGCTCCCAGGGCTTGAGAAAGACTTCCTGAGGTTGTTCATTCTTAGTAGTCTAGTTTGCAGTTCTTAATGGTAAATAATAAGTTTCAGTAGAAAACAACATTTGTGTGTGTGTTGATTTTTTTCCTCCAGTTATGGTTGGCTGTGATTTTAGTGTTGACAGACTTCCCCACGTCGGACAAGTAGTCTGCCCTGTGTCTGGCCTAACTGTGTAGCCAGTGTCGTTTTCCCTCATTGAGTAAACCTGGGGCCCTAATGGGAAGAAGTGCAAGGAGAACATGGTATAAAAATGAGCTGGGGGCTGGAGAAATGACTCAGCAGTTAGGAGCTCTGACCTCTTCCAGAGAACCAGAGTTCATTCCCAGCACCTAAACTGGGCCGCTCACAACTGCTTATGACCCCAGCTCCAGAGGATCTAACACTCCTGGTCCCTGTGGGCATATACACATAGAAATAGTAAAAATCTTGTTTAAGCCGGGCAGTGGTGGCACACACCTTTATTCCTAGCACTCAGAGCTCTGAGTTCCAGGACAGCCAGAGCTACAGAAAAACCCTGTCTCAAAAAAAAAAAAAAAAAAAAAAAAAACTTAAAAAATGAAAGCAGTGAAAAGCACTTACAAGGCTTGCCTTGAGTTCCCTCCAGGCAAGCTGTACCTGGTTTTGGCCTGGGGGACTAGTAGACTGAGGATCACTTCATTACCTCATTCTGCCTGGTGACATCTCAGTGGGACAATCCTAGGTGACACCTACCTGCTCTGAGTCCAAATGAAGGAAAACTGCTGACCCAGTACAACGGCCCCAGGCGAGGCTTAGCATCACTCTGCTGGCTTCTTAGGGCTGCTCTGCGCACAACACTCGGCCCACTGCTCTCCGGAAATGCAGGCTATGCTGGCAGTAGGGCTGATTTCCCGGCATCCAGAGGCTTTTCCATTCCTCTTGGGGCTACAGATGCTCTGCATTTCCTGACCTCAGACTGGTTGTTAAGAGGCCTCTGATGACACACCTGGCTAATCCCCTACCATTTTTTTTTTAATCTTTTTTTTTTTTTTTTTGGTTGGTTGGTTGGTTTGGTTTTTTTGATGATTATCTCACTGTGTAGCCCTGGCTAGCCTGGTATTCAAGAGATCCACCTGCTTCTGCCTCCTGAGTGCTGGCATTAAATGTGCATCACCACACCAGGGTAGTTCTCAGCACAAGGTACCATGCCAAGACATCCACCTAGCCCATACCTTTTTGATCCTGAGGGGGAATGTGCTTCACCTCACCTGTGACACACCCTACACATACAGGCTGTATTCTACCAGGAAATAAATGTCAAATCATCCTGTTTTGGAGGGGATAGTGTGAGAAGCTTCAGCAGCACACACACACACACACACAAAAGTTATTATCTAGAATGTCTAGAATGTTGAACATCGTGCCTTTTGATAAGCCTGGCCACGCCCAAGAACACAGAATCAGAGCATGGAGGCTGGTAACACTGATCAAGCCCACAATGGAAATCCCATGTAGTAGTAAGCAGACCCATCTCCACAAATTCTTAGGGGAAGCCAGTGAGGTACATTTTCAAATAAGCTTTTATTAGTGTCTGCAAAAAATACAACTCTCAACTAATTGATGTTTCTAATGATCTCAGTAAAACTGCCCAAAGTTACCACTAAAGCTCGGTATAGAAATACCATAACACATTAATACCTTTACAGGAGAAGATATTGCACAACTTGTCCATACCACCAACATCTCAGGTTATGACGGAGGCTTGTAGGTCTCTTCAGGAAGAGCTCCTGCTGAACAGTGTTGTGAGTCTTCCACCAGTCTCCTAAAGGACCAGAGAACAGTTTCTGCAGTGGAAGTCTAATTTATTTCCATAGCTCCTCCAGCGGACTCTGTGCGGCGCTGCGGATGGCGTCCTCGGAGAGGACACGGATTTCTTCATGGACATCCTCAATGCTTCTGGAAGCATCAACCACCTGTCACCACAAGGAGAGAGCAGGAAAGCGACATTACACCACCTCTGCCCTATTCCCAGTGCATGTGGTGACCTCAGTGAGCCAGGGCCTGCAAGAGCCAACCTAGATCTCAGGGACCCTTCACCCACAGCTTTCCTTGAACCTGATGTTCTTGGCACACTGTAGCTTGCATACCTACTGCATCCCAGATACGGGAAGCAACATGCACTAGCTGCTCATCTTGCTCCTAAGCAGGCTGAGCAACTATCCTCCAGTTGATAAGAATGAACAGGCTCCACGCCAGGCATGGTGACCCACCCTTTATAGTTCCAGAACTCAGGAGGCAGAGGCAGACAGATCTCTCTGAATTTAAGGACTACATAGTTCCTTCCAGGACAGCCAGGGCTATGTAGAGACCCTGTCTCAAAAAAAAAAAAAAAAAAAAAAAAAAATCAACCTGGTTTGCTTCCTGTCCTCTTGGGAGATGACAGCTGTCCTAACGGCTGCTCTGTTCCTTCAGGACAGGTAGATCAGGTGTGAACCAAGAGAGACGGTCTGAATAAGTGTCACCATCTCCAAGTCCCCCCATCTGGAGGGGGTCTGGACAGGACCCTTGTTTCTGTAAGTCTGGCTAAGACCTCTGGCAGCAAACATTTAAAAAGCTGCAGAAGGGTTATGGAAGGAGTCCAGGTATTTCTCAAAGTATGGCTGTGTGCAGAAAAACGCCACAGGGGTCACCTCCTGGAAGGGAGCGTGGCGGCCCCACTACAGCCACACAACCCTTGCCCAGACTATCCAGGGTGCCTCTCTAGGCTGACTTAACGCCCAGGAAAGAGAAGGGTATTAGCATCTGCTCTAATATGGTGAGACGATGCAGAAACTTAGGATAAACTTTGCAATCCTGAGGACATGTAACAGAAACAAAGGGCAAGTAATGTCAGGGAAACAGCGCCTTCGTAGACAAAACTGGCCTGTGATGCTGTGCTACTCAAGTGCCAGCCGCAAGTCTGGGAACCGTAGACAACAGTTAAAAGACGGCCTGTGCGGGCAATGCCAGGCCCACCAGGCCTATTCCAGAGTAGATGTGTGGAACGACGGTGCAGTTAGGGTCAGAGTAGGAGCAAGCAGCAGAGAAGGGGCTCATGTTGGCTTCCGTGCGAGGAACAAGAGGGAAGCTGAAGCCAATTCCTGAGACCAGTGTTGAAACAAGTTTACAGAGTAGAGGAAACAGGACTAGAGGGAAGCCTGGTATGGACACTTCTGTGCTCCAGGAAATGGCCACACATAGGCCTACAGGCTTCAAAGAAATGGGCAGGATAAAGGCCCAGGTTGTAGCTATAGAGGAGAAGGTGCCTATAATGACCGAGAGCCAACAGGAAGGCCAGGAAGAAATCACTGCATGAGCTAAAAGAAAAAGACATCTCACCATGAAACTGGCAAACTCCACCTTCTGACAGTAAGTATAATCCGTACAATGAAGAGTCATTCCTATGAAAAAGACTGCAAAGTAAAGTGTGATATAGCTTGCAAGACCATGTTCTGAATGGTGATGTCACAGGACTAAAGGCTTGTATAGAATAAGATAACAGACGTTTGCTGGGGCTCATCTTTGAGTCTTGCAGATAGAGGGTATCTCATTCTTATGAGGACTGTTCCTTAAACTCATCTAGCCCAATAGACAAAGCAGGAATCTTAGGGTTTTGTAAAATCGGTATGAGGATTAGAATCTGTTGGCAGAGAGCTGGAAGTATAGCCCAGTGGTAGGTGAGGCCCTAGGTTCTGTAGCTAGCACCACTACCACCAGAAAGTCTGTTGGCAGAGAACCAGAATAGCTTCCCTGATTTCCCAGATGGGTAACCAAACAAACTATACCGGCCGTGCTGATGTCAGCAGATGGGAGACTGCCACACAGCTCCTCGACGGCTGTTTGTAGCCAGCACTCACCTTCCAGTTCAGGTTTTCATCCTTCATGAGCTGCTGGAAACACAGCAGAACCTGCTCCTGGAAAGTCCCGGTCTCATAGCGCTCAAGCCCAAACTCTCCCCGTGCCGCAGCGTCCAGCAATTGTAACTGAAGGAACAGGATCAGGTCGGGCTTGGGAAGGCCCACGTCTGGTTGTTTGCACCAATCCAGGGAAAAATTCTGCCAACAGTTAGAGAAAGCAGACTGAGTGGGGTATAAGCTTTTGCTTCAAAGTGGGGTTGGGGGACCTGCTGCAGATAAGAGTTAACAGGAAGGCATCACAGCTCTGTGCTCTACGCTCGGCTTATGAACCACATTACGTCCTGGTTCATAAATCTCAGAATAAGGCATGGCATACGCAGATGTCCTAGTGGCACAGTCAACCTAGAGACTCAGAATATTTTAGATGTGAATGTCAGAAAGAGACGTGGGAACTTACACATCAAGGACTTAAGGGACTGGAGAGCAATGGCTACCATGTGTGAGGCCCTAGGTCCAAGGCCCAGCAGAAACAACCAACCAGCCCACCCCGTGGGCCACTGAGATGATTCAGCTTATAAAGACACTTACCACACAGTCTGAGACCTGAGATAAATCCCCAAAACTCGGTGTAAGGAGGGAAGTAATTCTCCAAAGTGGGCCTCTGCCCTTCACATGCTTGCTGTGGTATCTTTACACACAATAGCAACAAATAAATAGAGATTTAAGAGGCGCCTCCATGCATGGACCTTAATCAACTAGATTCTGGTTTAATATAATAAAAATACAAGGCTTGAGAGCTGGGAAACATGAACATTGCATGTTTAGTGACTGATGTCTGTGTTGAGGTAAGATTGTTCTTACACTAACGTTCTTGGGCTAGAAGTGGTGGTGTCTCTCTCCTGGAATCCCAGTGCTCAGAAGGCTGAGACAAGAGGATTACATGTCTGAGGCCAACACGATCTACTGAGTGACTTCCCCTAAGTGTGGACTATAAGAGACCCTGACTCAAAAACAGCAACCCCAGGTGCTTAGAGAGATGGCTCAGGAGTGAAGAGCACTGGCTTCTCTTCCAGAGGACCCAGATTCAATTCCCAGCAACCACATGGCAGCTCACAATGGTTTGTAATGTCAGTTCCACGGGACCCAACACCCTCTTCTGGTCTCCATGGGCACCAGACATCCTTTTTTTTTTTTAAAAAAAAATATTTATTTATTATGTATACAATATTCTGTCTGTGTGTATGCCTGCAGGCCAGAAGAGGGCACCAGACCCCATTACAGATGGTTGTGCGAAACCATGTGGTTGCTGGGAATTGAACTCAGGACCTTTGGAAGAGGAGGCAATGCTCTTAACCTCTGAACCATCTCTCCAGCCCCGGCACCAGACATACTTACAGACAAAACACACACACACACACACACACACACACACACACACACAATTTTAAAAACCCAATCCCAACACTAGGGAGGCAGAGATAGTGGATCTCTGTGAACCTGAGGTCAGTCAGATCTACATAGTGAATTGCAGACTAGCCATGGCTACACAGTGAGACCTTGTCTCAAATGAACAACCCCCCCACCCCCAACCAGCACACACGCGCGCACGCGCACACATACACACAGAGTTACATCTTAGATGTAAACTTTTATTAAGAATCCACAATGCCATCTGATACCGAGCAGAGGATGTGAGCGTACCTGAAGCTAATGATACTACCGGGAAGTTTTCTGTTGCCAAACAGCTGAGGCTTAAAAACTAAAAAGCACTGTCAGATGTGTGTGTGTGGTGGTGGTGGGGCAGGCCTTTAATCCCAGCACTTGAGGCATAGGCAGAGGCAGGGAGATCTCTATGATTCAGGGTGAGTCTGGTCTACACAGTGAGTTCCAGGCTAGCAAAAGCTACATAGTGAGACCTTGCCTTAAACACATATAAATGGGAGAATATTTTTTAGAAACAAAAGAAAAAAGGCACTGCAGGTCCTACCATTACACATATGAAGCGATGTAGAGGCTCCAGTAGCCTAGTCATTCTCTCTCTGGTCACAGAGTGAGGCAGCACAGGAAGAGAGATCAATCATTCAAATGGAAAACACAACACTGTATGTGAAAATCCCGCATATACATTTCTTTATTGATAAAAACCAACTTAATCTTGCGAGAGAGTCAAAGGAATGCCAGGGTCATCAAATTCCTAAGAGTAACTTGAATACGTACGTACTCATCGTGGTCGGTGACACTGAAGAAGAAGAAAAGCAGGCCCGGGCCCAACCTGGCAACCCGAGAAAGAAGCCAGACAGTACTCACCTCCTTGGCGCCAGTGAAGGCGACCCCAGAAAAGGCGTATCTATCCAAAACAAGGGTCACACCCTGGTTCAACTTCGCTTTAATTAATGGCCTGAAAAACAGAACGCTCTTGAGTGATGGAACCGGTTTTCCCAAACTATCCCAACGTGGAAATCCCATACAATGACAGTTACAGCACACTGATGTACAGACTTATTTACAAAGCTGGGGGTCCTCTCTCTAGATGATGCCGGTGGATACTTCCTGCCCTGCCATGTGGGGAAGGGGAACCCGCAAAGAGCAAAGGACAGCAGAGGGCATGGGGAGCCAGAAGATGAGGCCTATACTTGTGCCCAAATCTGAACTGAGATCAAGGACGTTTGCCCCCAAACACCACAGGCTCACCACCATTGCCAGGGTGCCAGACCTGAGATGTGTAAGGATGAAGGGCTTAGCATGAGCAAAAAAAAAAAAAAAAAAAAAAAAAAAAAAGGCCAAGTCAGATTCATCTCATCTCACAGGAGGCATTCAGTTTGGGTGGGTGGGGGAAGAAGGTTGAAATCGGTCTCACTGGGGCTGGAGAGATGGCTCAGAGGTTAAGAGTACTGACTGAGCCGGGCGGTGGTGGCGCACGCCTTTAATCCCAGCACTCGGGAGGCAGAGGCAGGTGGATCTCTGTGAGTTCGAGACCAGCCTGGTCTACAAGAGCTAGTGCCAGGACAGGCTCCAAAGCCACAGAGAAACCCTGTCTCAAAAAAACCAAAAAAAAAAAAAAAAAAAAAAAAAAAAGAGTACTGACTGTTCTTCTAGAGGTCCTGAGTTCAATTCCCAGCAACCACATGGTGGCTCACAACCATCTATAATAAGATCTGGTGCCCTCTTCTGGCATGTGTATACATAATAAATAAATTAAAAAAAAAATGAAATCGGTCTCACTATGTAGCCCAGGCTGGCTCCCAGCTCTTGATCTTTAGGGCATGATGGCACAAACCTGTAATCCTAAAACCTGTGAGACTAATGCAGAGAATTCTCAGTTCCAAGCAAACTAGACTACATATACATCAGGCAGGACCTTTAAGAGTTTTTGTTTGTTTGAAGATTTATTTATTTTATGTATATGAGTGCTCTATCTACATGTATGACTTTATGCCAGAAGAGGGCATCAGATCCCACTAAAAATGGTTGTGAGCCAGTGCTCTTAACCGCTGGCTATCTAGCCTGTCCCAGAGGGTTTTTAATGTATGGAGCTAGAGTCAGTAATGTGAACATATAAAAGAGAAAAAAATCGAACCAAGTGGTAGTGATTTATGCCTTTAATCCCAGCATTTGGGAGGCAGAGGTAGGCAGATTTCTTTGAGTTCAGGCCAGCCAAGAGCTAGTTCTGGGACATCCAGGATTACACAAAAAAGCCCTGTCTTAAAAACCAAACCAAACCAAACAAAGAGAGCTAGTCGGTGGTGACACACACCTTTGATCCTAGCACTTGGGAGGGCAGAGGCAGATAGACCTCTGTGAGTTCTAAGCCAGCCTAGTCTACAGAGCAAGTTCCAGGATAGCCAGGGTCACACAGAGAAATCCTGTCTTGAGATACCAAAAGAAAGAGGAAAACCTGGATGCCTTTGGATTTGACAACACCAAAGACTAAATCCATGCAAGGACTGATACGCCAGCCTCAGTAAAATTAAGAAGCTATGCTGTGCAAGAGACTATTAAACAAGTGAAAATGCAAGCTCCAGAATACAATCGACTGACAAGCTAAGTATGTGTCCTTAAAATGCAACAAAGAAAATGGCACTTAGAAGGCGGAGGCAGGAGGCTTGCCTTTAACTAGAGTACATCCTGGGCTACAGAGGGAATCATTATCTCGAAAAAAAAAGTTGGGGGCTGGAGAGATGGCTCTGTGGATAAATTGTTTGCTGTGTAATCATAAAGACTTGAGTTTGGATCTCCAGAACCCAAAATTAGTGAGCTCAAGGTTCAGTAAGAAACTTTGACTCCTCTGGGAACAAGGGCAGCCTGGGCTACAAGGCAAGTTCCAGGATAATCGGGGCTGTTATACAGAGAAACCCTGTCTCAAAAAACCTAAAAAAAGGAAATCTTGTCTCAGGGCTAGAGAGGTCAGGACTGGAGAGGTGGCTTAGCAGTTAAATGCTTACTGCTCTCGCAGAGGCTCACGTACCCACAAGGCAGCTTACAACTGCCTATAACTCTAGGTACAGGGATTCAGCCTCCATGGGCTGCAGGTATGAGGTCACAAGCATACATGTAGGCATTTATAGTACACAAAAATGTGTATACATAGCCAAGCAGGAGGCAGAGACAAGAGTTCCAAACCAAAAAATAAAAAAATAAAAAAAAATTAATGAAGCCGCACATGCATTCCCATGCATGCCACACAAGTCTGCAAGTTACTAGGGGGAGCAGCGAGTTGGTGTTTACACTTGTTCCCAGCGGTTCGCTGAAAAAAGCAGGTGCACTGAGTGATCTTCCAGTTCTGTTTTCTTTTCTAAGTAGGAATTCAGGAGCTTGCCGATTTCTGTTGATCTTTCTAGAAGGAGAAAATTGCGAATTACATGATAGTTTGCACCTAAGATTATGACTTGTACTCATATCAAACTCTAAACGTTATTAAACCTCTAGACAGGTTTGAACCATCTCTGAAGAAGCCAGAGTAGTTTCCCTGAGAGAACGCATTACTGTGTGGAAACCATGTAATCCTTGATTTCAAAAGTACCCCTAAGACTTTTGACTGGTTGGCTTAAAGATTAGACTATCCAAAAAAGCCAGGGGTGATGGCACATGCTTTTAATCCCAGCACTCGGGAGGCAGAGGCAGGCGGATCTCTGTAAATTCGAGACCAGCCTGGTCTACAAGAGCTAGTTCCAGGACAGGCTCCAAAGCTACAGAGAAACTCTGTCTCGAAAAACAACAACAACAAAAAGAATGTCCAATAAAGCATTTTTCCAATTCCCCATCTACTTAATTTGTAGGGTTAGGGGTTGGTGTTCCAGTGCACGGGGTGAAGGCCAGAGGTCGACCTCAGGTTCCTTTTCCAGGAGTAATCCACCTTGTGTTTGCGGAGAAGATCTTCCACTGGGACCTGAAGCTCAGTTTTGGCTAGCCACCGGAAGGAGGATCAAGCCTGTCGTCACCCCTCCGGCATTAAGATTATAAACAACTGTACCGGCTTTTTACCTCGAAGACTGAACTCGGGTCCTCATTTCAATGTGCATTTTATCAATTAAGCCGTCTCCACCAGCCCAAAGTAACACTGCCCACGGTGAGCTGGGCCCTCCATCAATAACCAATCAAGAGAATGTCTCACGTGCTTGCCTGCAGGATAAGCTGGTGGGGGCAATTTTCTCAATTGAAAGTCCCTCTTCCCAAAGACTCTAGCTTGTGTCAAGGTGACCTAAAACTAGGCAGCACATCCATTACACAATAATAAATAAATATCTTGAAACTTTTTAAAAATACAAAAACTAAGCCCGAAAAGAGATACTCTCAAGTCCCGCCCACCGACCCGCCCACTGGCCTGTCCGCGCACCGGGAAAACGCAGCAGCTCGGCTCGGTGGCCCGAGGCGCACAGCGCGGTCACCAGCCGGTGGCCCTGCGTGGTCTTGCCAGCACGGTCCACGCCCTCCAGCACGATGAGCGCCCCCCGACGCGAAGCCATCGCCATCCCGCTCAGTTCCCGCCAACCTGTCAGGTTCCCGCCAATGTTAGCTGCAGCAGAAGGCGGGAGCGCGCAGGTACTGCCGCACCGCCTCTTCCGGCTGGAAGCCGAGTTCGTGTAGCCTGAGGAAGAACCGATTCCGGTTCCGGACGTTGCGTAGCCCGTGGCCCGGGTCCCAGCTGCCTGGTAACCTCCCACTCGCGGAACTTCCGTTTGCAGTGCCCTGGAAGGGCCAATCTAGGGTTAGGGTTGTGCAGGCTCCGCTCACGTGGAAATCCAACAACAGTAGCGGAATCAAATTTTCATGGCTCTGAGCTCGCAACTGCAGGGTTCTAAAAGTTGTTTTTATCACAAGAAAAGAGCCATTTTAGCGGGGCGGTGGTGGTCCACGCCTTTAATCCTAGCATTTAGAAGGCAAAGGCAGCCGGATCTCTGTGAGTTCGAGACCAGGCTGGTCTACAGAGCGAGTTCCAGAACAGGCTCCAACGCTACAGAGAAACCCTGTCTTGAAAACAAACAAACAAACAAACAAACCCATCTTATGCTTTCTTCCAAGACGTGCTGCAGCTTCATCAAAGCGTTCAGAAATGTTTGCTGTTTTAGTGTACTGGGACTGTGTCAAAAACCGAGGGACAGAGTTGGTGGAAGTAATTGGATTTAATTGCAGCCTTGGCCAGAACTGAACAATTCCCATTTTCTTCTTGCTTTGCTCCAGTAGTGTTTTTATAGAAACGATTACAATCAGGAAAAATAAATGTGCTGGAGGCAGGCACAATTTATGCGAGTTTGAGGTCAGCTTGATGTACATAGCAAGTTCCAGGGCTGCATTGTGAGGCCAGATCTCAAAACAGCACTCAGAGGCTGAGGCAGAAGTATAGTGAGTTAAAGGCTAATATGTTTCAATAAGACTGATTAGGGGGTCTGGAGGTGGTGGCCTTAATCCCAGCAGTTGGGAGGCAGGGACAGACGGATCTCTGTGAGTTTGAGGCCAGCCTGATCTACAGAGTGAGTTACAGGATAGCAAGGGCTGTCACACAGAGAAACCCTGTCTTGAAAAAACAAGGGGCTGGAGAGATGGGTCAGAGGTTAAGAGCACAGGCTGCTCTTTAAGAGGTCCTTAGTTCAATTCCCAGCAACCACACGGTGGATCACAACCATTTATAATGAAATCTGCTGCCCTCTTTCTTCTGATGTGCAGGCATGCAAGCCAGCAGAACACTGTATACATAATAAGTAAAATAAATCTTAACAAAAAAGAGGTCATCAAGCTTTGAAAAAAAAAGAAAAAACAAACAAACAAAAAACAAAACTGATTAGGAGGCTCTCAGCATTCACCTAACACAAATAAAGCCCTAGATTTCATACCCAGCACAGAAAAATCGATATATTGGGAGACATATCTTATAATCCTGACCCCTTGGGAGGTGGAGGCAGGAGAAGAAATTCAAGGTCTATGCAAACTGACACCTAGTCAGAGAAGGTATTCACATGCCCAACAGATATGTAAACATGCTCAACATGAGCATTATTAGGAATCGTACATTAAAAGAAGATAACTTCACACCTCTACTAGACTAGCCCAAACCTACAATTCCAACTATACAGCATGCTGGTGAGGTTTTGGAGCAAAGGAAAATATCAATGCGGATGAGAAAGTAAAACCTGTGTGTGTGTGTGTGTGTGTGTGTGTGTGTGTGGCCACTTCGGAAGACAGCTTGGCTGTTCCTCAAGAAACTTCTTTACTCTTTAATATATGGTCAGTATTTATTCAAATGAGCTGGAAACTATGTCTACAGAAATTCCTGCAGGCAAATGGTTGTATCAGTTCTATTTGTATTTGTCTAAACATAGAAGCAGCTAAGATGTCTCTAACAGGCAAACTAATAAACTGGTTAATTACACAGTAGAATCCTTTTCAACTAAAAAAGAAATCAACTATCAAGTCATACTAGGACATGGAAGAACCTGAAGTGTCCTAGTATAGGGGAAGCCAGTCTGAAAAGTCTATACTGTAAGCCCCAACTACATGGCATTCCAGAAAATAGCAAAACTACAGAGATTTTAAAATGTTTATTGGTTACAAAAGTATATGTGTGTGTGTGTGTGTGTGTGTGTGTGTGTGGGTCCCATACTGTAGTATTAAGGCAGTGAATATTCTTCAGGATGCTGTAACGGAATACTTAGTATGTATTTGTCAGAAATATGAGACTCCAGCAAGCGTGGACTCTCGTAAACTATGGATTTTAGTTAATAATGTATCAATGTTGTTTCATTAACTGTAACAAAGTTGCCATAGGGATGCAAAATGTCTACAATTGAGGAAATTGTTGGAGACCCTTATACAGATTGTATGCTCAATTTTTCAGGAAACATAAGACTGCTTTGAAAAAGATTATTAGTCTTTAAAATGAGCTCCAGAACAGAGATATTTGAACAGAAAAGCAGGTCCAGTAAAGTCGTGTATATGTTCTCACGAGGCATTAGGCGTTCAGGAATGAGCACCTTCTTCAAAGGGAAGGACCTGGACGCAAAGTAAAGACCATTGGTTTAGTATTTGGACCGAGTGGGAAACATTTTAAATTGCTATATAGTTCGAATTTTTTTCTAGAGTAAATGCTTCTAAGGCTGGGAATATAGTTCACTTGGTAGAATGCTTACTGAGCACTCACAGATACCAAGTAAACTGGGCATGGTGGCACACCGCTATAATATTAGGACTTGGGAGGTGGAGGCTGAAGGAACAGTTCAAGATCATCTTTGGCTGCATATTCAGATTGTGGGCAACCGGGGCTACATGTCCCCCAAAATTGCATTTTAAATAATGAGGACCCTGGTCCAGGGGATATGGTGGCACATGCCCTTAGTCCTAGCACTGGGGAGGCAGAGGCAGCTGATCTGTATGAGTTCAAGGCCAACCTGGTCTCTATTTTAGCAAGTTTGAGGACATCCAGAGCTACATAAATAGGAAGACCCTGTCTCAGAAAACCCAAAAGAAAAAGGAAAACCCTGACCGGGCGGTAATGGCACACGCCTTTAATTCCAGCACTCGGGAGGCAGAGGCAGTCGGGTGTCGGTGAGTTCGAGGCCAGCCTGGTCTACAAGAGCTAGTTCCAGGACAGGCTCCAAAGCTACACAAGAAAATCCTGATTCTTTAGTGCTGAAGAGATGGTTCAGAGTTTAAAAGCACTTGCTGCTCTGTAGAGGAACTGGCTTCTGTTCTCAGCATCTACATGGTGGCTTACAACTCTAGTTTCAGGGGATCTAATGCCCTTTCCCAGCCTTCCTGGGCACCAGGCAGGCACGTGATGCACATGTGTGAAAAACACTCATACCTGTTAAAATAATAAAATCTAAAAAATTGTATAACCAACAATGTCAGAGGCTGAGGCTGTGAGGATTGTTCTGGCACTATTGCTGTAACCCCAGCTGTTCCTTGGCCCTGGAGCTTTCAGGACAGGAATTCCTTATTCCCGGGCAGCGTGAAGTTAGAGTGAAAGGATTGGCCCGTGACACCTAAACTTACGCCCATGAAATTTTGCAGAAGATAATTTCCTTATCTTAGCTGGCTCGGAGTGACAGGGGCTAAGTGGTGACTGGCAAGCGCATCCACGCTGATAACACCGAGTAAGGTCCGGACACAGAGAACCCACACTTAATTCCACCATCTGACATATTTAAGTGGCACCCAGCGCACCCCCTTTTGTTTGTTTTTAGAGACAGGGTTTCTCTGTGTAACCTTGGCTGTAGACCAGACTAGCCTCGAACTCAGAGATCTGCCTGTCTCTGCTGTACTGGAATTAAGGGATGTGCCATTACCACCCCCGCTAACTTTCCTTTTTATTGTTTTTTTTTTTTTTCTAAATTTGTGACGAGGGTCTCGCTAGTCTGGGCGGGCAGGTAGACGACGGCAGGCCTTGAACTCATGGCGACAGACCTCCTTCTGCCTCCCGAGTGCTGGGTTTTAAAGGCGCGTGCTCTCACGCCCGGCTTTCCAGGTATTTTTTGCAGGCGTCGAGGTGTGCATGGCCTCTTCACGAAGTGCGGGTCAGGACACGCAGGTCCAGCGTGGGCACGCCCCTCGGGACTAAATAGCAACACAGCGCATCAATGTTAACCAAGGCGCGCGCGCGCGCGCGTGTGTGTGTATGTGTGTGTGTGTGTGTGTGTATGGAGGGGGGGGGGGATCTCCTTCCTGGAGGACCACGCTGCCACCTTCGAGAAGCCACAAGCAGCGGGCGCCGGCTCTCGGGCCGACCAGACCCCAGATCCGAACAACGCCGGCAGAGACCGGAAAGTGAAGCTCGGAGCCGGCACACGTGTAGGCAGGGTTCCCCAGTCGAGCGCTCGACAGGGCACTGCCAAGGCTCGGACCTCTGCGGGAGCCAGAGAAGTAGCTTCCGCATCGCCAACCGCCGACGGACTCCATCGCCCACCCGGATCTCCTCAGGGGAAGCCCCACAGCGCCCCCTGACGACCGCAGCCGGCCGGAAGCGTGGGGGTGGGCCCTGACGTGCCCCGCCCCTCCGCCGGCCAATCGGCGCGCGCAGCTCATGAATAGTGAGCGCGCGGCGCCGCCCCGAGTCCGCGGCACCGCCCGCTCGCGCAGACCCCGAGCGTGGCCGCAGCGAAGATGGCGACTGCCATGTACTTGGAGCACTATCTGGACAGTAAGCACCTTGGTCGAGCCGCCCGCCCTCGCGGGTCTGCTCCGCCGCCGCCCCTGGCCCACCGCGACCCGTGCGGGACCCCGGGGTGCGGTCGCGGATGGGGACCGGTCATGGGAACAAGTGGGGGATCACGGCCTTTCTGGGGCGGGGTCGTGGATGGAGGGCGTGGGGCGCGGCGCGGGGTCCCGCCGCCTCCGCCGCGCCAATTCCAGGTGCGTCACGCAGGGGCGGAGCCTGAGGCTCAGCCCGCCCTCTCCGCTTCAGCCACACCCCCCGACGCCGACCACGCCCCAGTCCCCTCCCCTCCAATTCAGTCTTGCTTGGGGGAGGTCCGCCCCTTCTTAACCTGAGGCTTGTGGTGTTTGCTTTTGGAACAGCAGTAGGGAGCTTTAGGCTAGTGGGGTACGTTATTTCGCGGGAAGTCGTGCTGTCTGTCACAAGCCAGTCTGACAGGGTACGATGTCCTGTGTAACAGGTTGATCTTTGACATCCCGGGCATGTCTTCCTCCGTTTATTTTTAGACGGTGAGATTGACTCCCGGCGAGAATTGAGGGAGATTATTTTTCCACTCTTTACGTGTGAGGAATTGAGACCCTTTGTAGGGAGGTGGATCAAGCCAGTGCGGCGCCCTAGTGCTTTGATTATCTAGCTGGGTTTGGGAAGTGGGTGTCCAAGGTGATCTGTCATCAGTCTAGTGTCCATCCAGTGGGTATTCTGAGGTGGATCCAAGACGGGTTCATTTCAGTGTTGGCATCATGTGATGGTTGATGTCCACACTCTCCACCTGCCCTGTGCCACAGGTGGGCAGGAGCCCCATTTCTCCACAACTCACTGATAATTGAGGCACACTCACCCCCCCCCCTTTTTTTTTAAAGTTCATAGAAGTCTCAGGCCTGGAAATAAATGTAGCAGTGGAGACTGCAGATAAAGGGTCCTCTCTCTGAGAGTAGAGAGGGCCACTGGATGGTCGAGTGTTGACTAGCTTGCCAGGGCCATGGAGTCAGGCTGTGGGTGATAATGACTTGATGAGCTCAGGAAGATACAGGCTTATAGCGGCAAGTGTTATAAGATGTAGGCCTAAAGTACTGGCCATGTTGGCTGTGGAGAGTATTTGGAGTGGGACAGGACCCAGAAGGAGCCTGCCGAGAGCTTGATGCAGGTGGCTCTTCACCAGGGGACACAGTGCAGGCAGGAAAGCAGTGGACTAACTCTAACCACAGGGACTAGAGAGCTACTCGCTGGCTCTGGTTGCATTTCCAGGGCTCACGGCTGCATGTGGCTAGAGGCTGATATGTTGGGCCGTGCAGAGAGAGCATGTCTTGGGGACCGCTTGGTCAACAGTTCCTGGTGCAGTAGCCGTCAGGACAGGGTTGGAGAAATCCAGGAGGACTCTTTTTTTTTTTTTTTTGGTTTTTCGAGACAGGGTTTCTCTGTGGCTTTGGAGCCTGTCCTGGCACTAGCTCTGTAGACCAGGCTGGTCTCGAACTCACAGAGATCCGCCTGCCTCTGCCTCCCGAGTGCTGGGATTAAAGGCGTGCGCCACCATCGCCTGGCTTCCAGGAGGACTCTTTAGCACATTTCATAAGAACCCAGAGGAAGACATTGGGGTTCAACTTGAAAGTCAGAAAAGCAAAACAGCCAACTACTGGCTCCTATCTCTACCTCAGTCCGAAATGACATCCTGCCTCCGGGAATCTCAGAAAGAGACTGTGTGTGAGAGCCGTCTTCTCCCGTTTTATATTCCTCTCTAGGGCTGGGATTAAAGGTGTGTGTTATTGCTGCCTGGTCTGTGAGGCTGACGAGTGTGGCTGTTTTACTCTCTGGTCTTCAGGCAAGCTTTAGTTATTAAAATACAAATGAAATATCACGATAGGACCCAGGTTCTCTCAGGCTGTTGGTACCTGCCCCTAAAATGGTCTCAGTCATTTTAGTTCCTAACTGGAACAGAAATGATGATAAAGCCTGCAGGCTTTGGTGTAAGGCCCTGGAGATAGGTTTTTTTTCTTCCCACTAAAGATTTATTGATTTATTTTATTTTGTGTATATGTGTGTTTTGCCTGCATGTATGTCTATGCACCACATGTGTGCAGTGCCCTCTGAGGCCAGAGAGGACATCAGATCCCCAGAACTGGAGTTACAGATGGCTGTGAGCTTTCACATAGGTGATGAGACTTGAACCCGGGCCCTCTGGAAGAGCAGTAAGTGCTCTTAGTAGCTGAGCCATCTCTCCAGCCCTAGAGGCAGATTTTCGTCTGCTGAGAAGTACAGCCTTTTCTTGTCTCTTTCAGGCATTGAGAACCTTCCCTGTGAACTTCAGAGGAACTTCCAGCTGATGCGAGAGCTAGACCAGAGAACGGAAGGTGGGTATAGCCTGAGCTGGGTTTTGAGCATTGGTCAGAGAGAGATGGCAAAGGACATAGGGTATCAGAGAGCTCTGAAGGGACCTTGTATAGCACAGGCTTTGCATCATACAATGTCTTCGAGACAAGATTTCTCTGTGTATCCCTGGCTGTCCTGGAACTCATCCTGTAGACCAGGTTGGCCTTGAATTCAGAGATCCACCTGCCTCTGCCTCCCAAGTGCTGGGATTAAAGGCGTGCGCCACCACTGTCTGACTTGTAGTCAGAGTTTTCCTGTCCCCACCGCTTGCTCCCAAATAATCAACATGGAGATTTAAGATTGCTTATAAGTACAAAACTCTGACTACACTTGGTGGGTTTTTTTCTTGTGTAGTTTTTTGAGACAAGGTCTTTCTATGTTGCCTTGACTGGCCTGGAACTGCCTGTGTAGAGCAGGCCAAACTCATAGGGATCCTCCTGCCTCTGTCTCCTGAATGTTGAGATTAGATGTGTGTACCACCATGCCCATCTCAGGTTCTTATTTATTTATTTAGAGATGAGGTCTTAATTCCATAGCCTAGGCTGCCCATGAACTCCCAATGTACCTTCCATAGCCTCCTGTGTGTGGGGGTCGGGAGGAGAGTGCTGGTGCTTTTAACTCAAGTGTAGTTTCTTGGTTTGTTTGTTTGTTTTTAATCTCTGTGTGTGTACATACATGATATGTGTATATGCACGTGTGTGGGTACACACTTGTCATGGCATATAGGACAGGACAGCCTTGGGTTCAGAGACAAGATCTCTTTTCTTGTTTACTTCTGCATATTTGGGATTTTCCAGTCTCTGGCCCCCATCTCCCAGTGAGTGCGCTGGAATTACAGATGCACATGCGAGCACACTTGGCTCTTTTTTTTTTTTTTTTTTTTAAGATTTATGTATTTTGTATACAGTGTTCTGGCATGTGTGCCTACACACCAGAAGAGGGCGCCAGACCTCATTATAGATTGCTGGGAATTGAACTCAGGACCTCTGGAAGAGCAGCCAGTGCTCTTAACTTCTAAGCCATCTCTCCAGGCCCCCCACCCCTTTTTTTCCCCACACTTGGCTTTTAAGTGGTTTTTGGGGGGCTTGGACTCATGTCATTATCACAGTGATGGCTTTACCCACTGAGCTATTTCCCCAGCCTGGTTTCTGGCTTCCTACACAATTTTTAGAGCTTTTCAGCTATTGTCCTTTACAGTCAGAATGTTTGTTGCTCTTCTCCTTCCAAGTTTTTTTTCCCATTTCTGTACCGTTTATAAGTGAGTATTCCTTATCCAAAATGCTTTGGGCCTGGAGTGTTTTGGATTTTTATGTTTTTCCATTTTGGAACATTTACAACTGTACTGAACTATCCTGGGGGGTTGCAACTCATCTAAACAGGGAAAATTTTTGTCGGGAAGGCAATTTTATATGACATTGTTATTGGTCTTGTGTGTGGAATGTTTGAAGAAGTCCCACTTCTTGGTTAGAGCAGAGTTGCATGTGTCCCTGCTCTTGGAAGCATGCAGCGTGTTTTTACACGTTTTGCTCTGTTGTTCACCGTCAACATCTGTTGGACTCAACCATAGGTTGTAAGTCATTAGTTGGCCTTGTACCCTAGGTGGTGTGGATGTAGCATAGCCTCGCTCACTAGTCTGACTGTGGGTTGGACATTTTCACCGCTTCTTGCTTTTGTGGGTTTTGTGTGTTTTCCTAAGTGTATTTTGGTGCCTAAGTGCTCCTCCTGTGGGTATGTGACTAAGTTGTGCACCAGGAAGTAGGCACGATGCCCATAAAATGTGCTGTTCATGAGAGTCAGAGGGCAATTTGACTGCCTGCTAGATGATGCTTGTGTTGGGTCTGCCTTGGACAAGTCGCTGTGTCACAAAGTGTACACTGGCATGGCCGCCAGTGACGCTCCTGCCAGCTTCTTGGATGCGTGTCACTCTACCTCTTTCTTCCGCCTCTCACCGGTCCCCCTTAGATAAGAAGGCAGAGATTGACATCCTGGCTGCGGAGTATATTTCCACAGTGAAGACTCTCTCTTCAGACCAGCGTGTGGAGCACCTGCAGAAGATCCAGAACGCCTACAGCAAGTGCAAGGAGTACAGTGACGACAAGGTGCAGCTAGCCATGCAGACCTATGAGATGGTGAGTGTAGGGGCGCAGTGCAGGCCTTCACTCCTGCCTCCCATGCCGCAGGAGGAAAAAGGTGTATGGAAACATGTATCTAGGGTGGGAGTTTAGAGCATCCAGAGAGAGGGTGCATTGGGGGTCGCCATCTGGGCCTACTTCCATGATTTTGCTTTTTTGGGCCCTGCTTGTCTTGCTTGTTGGTGGAACCATTGTTTGTTGGTGTTTTCCTGGGGAGGTCTAATCCAGGGCTTTGTGCACACCAGGCAAGCGCTGAGCCACTGAGCTGCATCCCTAGCCTTCGTTTTACTATGAAGTCACATGTTCAAGTGTCCTTTTGCAGGTGGACAAACACATCCGAAGGCTTGATGCTGACCTGGCACGCTTTGAGGCTGACCTGAAGGACAGGATGGACGGAAGCGACTTTGAAAGCACTGGATCACGAAGCTTGAAAAGCAAGTTGACTGATGTTCTCTTTGCTAGTGACTGCAGTTTGGAAGGCTTTCCTCTAAATGTGTTAGGGACACGATGGTAAATGAGTGGGTGAATCTTGTTCCACGTTGGTCTGTTCTGTGATAATAATGGGTCTTTGTCCTTCAGAAGGTCGGAGTCAGAAAGAAAAGAGAAGCTCCCGGGGCCGAGGCAGGAGGACGTCAGAAGAGGACACACCTAAGAAAAAGAAGCATAAAAGCGGGTAAGATGTTTCCACCCTCTTTTCCCAATGGAACACTGGTTTTCGAGCAGCAGGGAGAATGCCTGGGTGAGTCCCCACTACTCTAGCACTTCACGCCTGCTGAGCCAGGCCAGGTGCACACTGTCCTTGGGCAGTCTCTTCACATCCTGTGTACGCGACAGTTCATATGTATACCACCCTCGGCGTCAGGAGAGTGCTGCGTACTTACTGGCAGTGCTGGGTCGAAGCCACTCTATAAGTAGCTGAACTTACTGTTGGTGGTTTTATACAATGATGCGTGTTTTGTCCATGTTTGCCGTTAAACTATGTGACTGCACTTATTAGACACAACATCATTTATCCTGAATTCTTCAGGCTTGTCTACCACTTTCTTCTCCCAGAGGCATTGTGCTGTTTCACTGACGTGATGTCTGGACTAAAGGGAAAATTGTGAAGTGACAGGAGACCTCTGGCCATGAGTTCTGGGGGAGGCTGGAGAAGCCAAAGCTTGACCAAAGCGGGAGGGCAGGGAACTCTGGCTGAACCTCCTGGTGCTTGGGTGTTGTGGGGAGTGGAAACCCAGGGCCTTGCATATGCTAAGCACTAGCTCTTGTTCAGTCCCTGAGCTACAGCCAGTCCTCCCAACAGGGTCCTGGTTTTTGTTTTGTTTTGTTTATGTTTTGGGGTAAGGTTAGATATATGGCCAAGACTGGCCTTGGACTAATGATCTTTCTTCCTCAGCCTCCTAAGTACTTACGTACTGTGAATACAGACCATAAATTTTGTTTTGTTTTTCGAGACAGACTTTCTCTGTAGCTTTGGAGCCTGTCCTGGAGGTAGCTCTTGTAGACCAGACTGGCCTTAAACTCATAGAGATCTGCCTGCCTCTGCCTCCCAAGTGTTGGGATTAAAGGTGTGCACCATCACCGCCTGGCTGATAAAGCAAGTTTGTATACTAGTGAGGTACCTATTAATGTTACTTGTTTTTAACATAAAAATTTGTTTTTGCTTGAGATTTGATAGTGAAGGATTTAGAACATTCTCATTGTTTTTTAGAGTTGATTGATCTTTTAATTTTACAATTGTCAGTGCTAAGAATTTCTTAGGTTTTGTTTGTTTTTTTGGTCTTTTTGTTTTGTTTTAGTTTTGAGACAGAATCTCACCATGTAGTCCTGGTCTGGAACTCACAGAACCTGCTTCTGTTTCCCAAGTGCTGAGATTATTTGGTTATTGAGTATTCTGAAACCTACTGTTGCCAGATTTTCTGAGGAACCCCCACCCTCACACATTCATATAGTTTAGGATTCGTGACCCACAGTTCAAGAAGCTGAGGTCTAAGCAGTGCTGCTAAGTAGAATTCCTTTGTGAACCGGGGTTGAGGGGAGGCTTAATCTGTGTGCATCTAACCAGTACCTCCCCAGTGGGCTGTGCAGCTATTACAGATGTCTGCTCATTGTGGGAGAGAATCAGACTATAGGTTAGCAACTTGTGTATGCATAAAGATGATAGTTTTCAGTGCTAGAGCACCCGTTTGATTTGATTCCCTTTTTAAAAATACAGTTTTGGCTCCTATTTTTGAAAATGATGTATATTTCTATCCATTTAGTCATAAATATTTTTTAATATTTATTTATTTATTCATTCATTTATTTATTTGTTTATCGTACAGCATTCTGCCTGCATGTATGCCTGCAGGCCAGAAGAGGGTACCAGATTTCATTATAGATGGTTGTCAGCCACCACGTGGTTGCTGGGAATTGAACTCGGGACCTCCGGAAGAGCAGCCAGTGCTCTTAACCTCTGAGCCATCCCTTCAGTCCTAGTCATAAATCTTTTAACCTTTTCTTTTTTTTTTTTTTTTAGATAGGTCTTAGTCTTTGGCCAAAAATCAATGCACTTTGAACTCTGGCATCCCGAGTGCCGAGCATTAACTTCCTTACGATAGCTATTTAAAGCTCTCTTCTCTCAAGTTTACATCCCGAAAGGCTGTATATGTGTTCTGTAAATCAGCTTCTTACTGCCCTCATTGCTTCTCCGTTGAGGACAAACTGGCTGTGAAAATGAGTCCTGGTCTCACAGACTCTAGAGCGAGGAAATTGTCACTCTGCCTTTGTTGACATAAAACTCAATTAGTTCATGTTCAGCACATAGACTGGGTGTCCATGGCTACCACATGTAGGTCCTACAGTGTTATGTAAATAGCTCGGCCACCCTTCTTGCCAAATCTACCAGATGGACAACCTCTCTCTTGCTGCAGATCACCCAGCTCTATTACTCCAGGGTCTTGCTGCCTGTAAAGTGGTTTTGAGCTTTGCATTTCTGACTTGTGGGATGGCAGCATGGTGTCTCTGCTCCTTCCTTCCCCAAAACCCAGACGCCATGCTTCTGGGTTTGCACAGACAGTCTTGCTGGTTGTCTTCTTCACTGAGTGTTTTCCATAGTGTCCTCAGCACAAGGAGCTCAGTATAGGGGTCTCTAGGTGGTGGGGAAGCCAGTACCCACTGGCTGGAGCATCCCCCTAAGGCCTCAGGTATAAGACAGGCATTGTAACTACTCCTAAAATCTCACAGATGAGGCAGACTGTTCAGTTTCTCCCTTGACAGGAGCCACCATGTTATGTCTGATGCTTAGGAGACAGTCACTGCTTTCAGACCTGCTTGCTGGGCTTGCTGCAGCCGTGGCTGGTTGGTGACAGTGGTAGGGCACCTGTTCCCTCTGGCCCATGAGTGGCGGTGCAGCCGCTATCCCAATTTGCATATGTTCAGTCGGGAGACTGCTGGAACAAGGGGTGTGCTCAGGCCTTGACAGTAGGCATCCAGAGATAGCCCAAGGCACTGAAGTCCTGGACTTGCTGTATCAGGGTGGGAGCTTGTTGTGGCTTCAGAGCCTGAAGCTTAGACACTTGCCTGTTGCTGTCTTGAGTTCTACACAGTGCCTGTCTCTAGCCTGTGTTCGGCAGGTTTTTTTTCCATGATGAGATGGACTAACGTGTCAGTTATAGCTTGTGGTATCCATCATTTTCCATGGGAGACCTGGAGCAGTGCTCAGTCAGGTTCCCGTGGCCCAGTGGCCACTTGGCCAAAGGACTTGGCAGCAGCTGTGTCATAGCTGTGCCAGCTTGTGCTTGCCATAGCCTCATGGGAACTGGCCATATTAATTTATATCACTATCTCACCTTGTGCTTGCCGTAGCCTCATGGGAACTGGCCATATTAACTTATATCACTATCTCACCTTGTGCTTTCCATAGCCTCATGGGAACTGGCCATATTAATTTATCACTATCTCACCTTGTGCTTGCCATAGCCTCATGGGAACTGGCCATATTAATTTATATCATTCTCACCTTGTGCTTGCCGTAGCCTCATGGGAACTGGTCATATTAATTTATCATCACTATCATTCCTGGTTGAGGTGTAAGTATGGATAGTGGTATTACAGGTTTAGGGATTATACTGTATCGACTGCCCTACAGTTTACATGGTTATTTGAAAAGCACATGTAAAGGGGCTGGAGATGGCTCAGTGGTTAAGAGCATTAACTGCTCTTCCAGTGGACCCAGTTTTAATTCCCAGCACCCACATGGCAGCTCCTTGCTTCTAGAAATCCAGTTCCAGGAGACTCGACACTCTCGCACAGATATACAGGCAGGCAAAATACCAATGTAGCCTGGGCTACAAGAGCTAGTTCCAGGACAGGCTCCAAAGCTACAGAGAAACCTTGTCTCGAAAAAAAAGAAAACCACATGTAAAGTGTAAGTTCAATGTCCTGGTCTATAGTGAAGGGTGGGCTTCACTGTGTAGGCACCAGGTACCGGGGAGAGCGAAGGGGCAGCATTCTCACCAGGCTGCTGTTTAGAGACCAGAGGCAGCTTCCAGCATTGGGGAGTGAGTAGGATAGTGTAGAAGGAGCTGCAGGCAGGCCTGCTTTTCATCCCTTCCGGCTCCCACACGACTAACTTTACACCCGAAATAACAACACACAAACTGTATTCATATAAACACTGCCTGGCCCATTATATCTAGCCTCTTCTTGGCTAACTCTCACATCTCGACTAACCCATTTCTAATAATCTGTGTAGCGCCACGAGGCAGTAGCTTACCAGAAGGATTCTAGCCTACGCCCATCTTGGGCCAGAGCTTCATCGTGTCTGCCCTGGAGAGAAGCGGCATGGCTCTGAGCTCACTTCCCTTCTTCCCAGCATTCTGTTCTGTCTACTCCACCCACCTAAGGGCTGGCCTATCAAATGGGCCAAGGCAGTTTCTTTATTAACCAATGAAATCAACAGATTGACGATTGACATATGACCTTCCCACATCAGGATAGTGTGTACCAAGCTGATTCTTGTTAGTCTGGTGGGCAGCTGGGTGAGGTTAATGGGTAGATACTTGGAACCCAAAGGAGACTAAGAAGGGTATCTGGATAGATACCTTTCCAAGAGAGGAGGGTATAGCCATTGGTTCTGGTGAGTGCCTCAACCCTGAGGTCAGCCTTGGGTGAGACACAGACTCTTCCCAAATGTTAGCTATCTGCTGGCAGGGGGCCATGCTTTTGTCACCACCAGGAGGTGACAGCTGAAACAGAAGGGAGGCCCAGAGAAAGCAGCAGCTTTGTCCATTTGGAGGGGTCTTTGTCCCCAGTAGGCAGCAATGGTTGATGTTGGATTAAGTTGCTGCTGAGTGCCATTAGCAATCTCAGACCCCACTGCCTGCTTCTACGACCTCTGCTGTTATTAAGTGGGTAGTGTGAGTGCCGTGTGCTGCTGCCCCAGGTTTGTGGCTGTGACGGTCCAAGGGAATCTCTTCGCTGATATTAGCACACCATATTATTCTCACTATAAATTCTTAGAGATTTGGCTGGAAGGTTGTGAGGTTATCCTTGAAAATGTATCTCAGTGACGGGTATTAGGGCTGTTCCCAAGTTCCAGTAACAAGGAAATCGGAAGCAAGTTTATGAGTGATCATTAGCTCAGGGTCACTGCAGATTCTTCCCTTGAAACCTGCAAGCATCTTTGGCTCCAGGGGAGAGGAGCTGTGGGCCGTTGATGGAAGGGCGGTGGTTGGCCTTGTGCATCTGCTGCCTTCCTCCTGTTGTCCTGTAGTCAGCAGATCTTTCCCTCCCTTCAGGTCTGAGTTTACCGACAGCATCCTATCTGTGCACCCCTCTGACGTGCTGGACATGCCTGTGGATCCAAATGAGCCTACGTACTGCCTGTGCCACCAGGTGTCCTACGGGGAGATGATCGGCTGTGACAATCCAGATGTGAGTGCTCTCTGTATAGCCTTCCTATTCTGGAACTCACTATGTAGACAAGACTGGCCTCGAACTCACAGAGATCCGCCTGCCTCTGCTTCCCAAGTGCTGGGATTAAAGATGAGCTTCACCATCACCCAGCATGAGTGGATCTTAAAGGATACATGTTCCCTGGGACGAACTTTGTAGAGATGGGTGGGTGTTAACCTTTCTATGTCTAACATACAGAGTGCATAGATGTGACACAGGTTTTTCCCTTGCTTTGCAGTGTCCAATTGAGTGGTTTCACTTTGCCTGTGTGGATCTCACCACAAAGCCCAAAGGAAAGTGGTTAGTATGGGGTTGACTGCAGTCTCGGACAAGCCTGTCTGGTGCTCTGGGTCTTGTTGTATGTCTCCGTATTTCTGCAGCACTGGTCCTGACTGGGGAGGGGAGGTGGTGGTGTTAGCAGACTTAGAGACAGAGGTCTACTGCTCAGCTTACCTGGGTGTGTATATAGTCTTACACTGACGCCCTTGGAAGAAGGGCTCCCTGTCTCCAGCCCAGTGTGCACCCAGTGTTCCAGGCCAGTGCTCTTCCACTGGACTGTGTCACCTTCGCCCTCTGGCTCCAGGTTGGGTAGCGCTTATTTTCAGCAAAATAAAAAAAAAATAAAAAATAAAAAACAAAAAAAAAAAAAAAGGAGAGCAGGTTCTTGTCTCCAGGGGAAAATGGGGATCATGAAGAACATAGGAAGGAACTGTAGAATCGTTGTGTTCCCCTCCAGGGGCTCCATCTACCAGGGCACAGGAGGCTTGCATGTTCCTGTTTCCATCCTACATTCGGCCAGCAGCAGACTACTTAACTGTTCAAGAGGTTCTCAAGGTTTTCTTTGAATAAAAACCTGGTTTTGTTGACTTATGTTAAAAGTGAATGCATGTTCTTAAAATGAAATAGTAGGGCTTGAGCCTTCCTCCTAGGAGCAATTGGAGCATCTCTCTCACGGTAACATTCTTGGTGTGTAGATCAGCCCGTGGCCAGTTTGAGAGTCACCTGGGAAAGGAGGGGTGGATGCCATGTTGCAAGGACTTTTGGTCAGATGTGTGTGGTGTGAATGTAATCTCACCTTATCGAGCATGCCTACTGTGCATGGCTCCTTACCTCATGTTACGAGAACCATATGGCATGCACGTGCCTTGGCTGGGCCTGTGCCCTGTGGGAGTGGGTTGGGCTGCCGTGGCAATGGGTGTGTGGGAGCAGGTGTATGGCTGGGCTGCCGATGGGTGGTGGTTTCTCGGTTGAGGAAAGGGAAAAGAGCAGGCTTGCATGAGGCAGTGGAATCTGACTTCAGGTTCAAGTTGGACGTGGTGCTTGCAGGATCTCCAGGTAGGGAGTCTGACAAAGCTATTGGAATGTCACAAGCTTGGAGAGTCTGTAAGCCTGGTAGCTACTCGATGTGCTAGGCCCAAAGCCAGACAGAGGAACTGGGGAGTGGGGTTCCAGCGTGTCTTTCTGTAGTTACCGGAATGGGCTTCCTCAGAGGGACTCGTAACTTCTAACTAACATGATCACTGCAGCACTGGTAGGTACTCAGAGCTTCTGAGCACAGAGGGAAGTGATGCCAGCGGTAGCATGTGTCAGAGAGCTGGCTCCACATCAGGACCTTACTGGAATGTCTCTTTGGATCCTGAGTGGCTGCTGTGTTCTGGAGTTTTCATGAGTACTGTCTGAGGCTCTGATGTGTGCTTGACCGACAGCACTGTGAAGATGAAATTATTGTAATAGCATGAAGTTCTTGGGTCTGTGTAACCCATTCAGTCTCCAGGGCCAAGTGCAGCTGTCTCAGGAACTAGTGTCCACAGGCTTATCAGGCCTGTGTCTGCACATGGGGTCTTCAGCATGTCTAGCCAGCTAGCCGTTGGTGTCACCTCAGTAGGGGGCACCTCATAGTAGGACCAGTTTTATCAACATGTACTAGTCAACCTCAGATATGCAGCCAGCGCTCCCCAGGTGAAAGACCGCACGTCTCACTTGCTGTGTCTGTCCTCCGGCACTGTCTTCCCCGAATCCAGCTACCCTGGGGGAGGCAGGAAGTATGTACGTGGGTGTCCTGTGTGCCAGGACATACGATGCAGAAGGTTGATTGCCGTGTCTTTCTTGTCACAGGTTCTGTCCCCGATGTGTGCAGGAAAAGAGGAAGAAGAAGTAACGAAGAGGTTGTTGTGCCAGGCTGAAGAGCAAGCTAATATATTTCTTCACTCATGTTGCAATATTATCTTTCATTTAAAAACTACCTTATTTCAACTGATATTTAATAATTCAGTGGCCAATTGTAGTTTTGGATATTTCCCAAAATAAGAAGCCACTGCACCATTTGCACAGAACAATCTCGCAGGGACTTGCCACAGTGACTTCCCGTGCAGGCTCCCCACTCCTGCGGCCTCCCAGCACTGGGATGGCAGCACCCCTTGTGCCGAGGGTCCCTTGGGGCTGTAGGCAAAGTGCATGGTGCAGGCTGGACATGTTTTTCACCTGGTCTACTGCCACTGCTCTGTCACTAGAGGGTCGGCCTTGCGTGTCCGTGTAATCCAGGACCGGCTTGTGGCACCATGGAAGCTGCTGTTCTGTGAGCCAGGTCTTCCCAGACGCTGGCCAATGCTGTGCTCTTACCCTGGCTGAAGACCAGGGACTCCTGGCCAACATACCTCTGATGTGTCTGGAAGGGACTGGGGGCTCTTCCCAGGTAGAAGTGCCCTCTGTTTCGTTGTGCACCGCCTTTCCATGTGAACTTCCAGCTCGCCCTGGAGATTCAGCTTCCATTAGCCTCGAACTGTCAGTTATCCGACCAGCACTGCCCAACAGCGGACAGAACAGTCAGGCTGAGCTTCCACCTCTCTGGGAATTCCTAACTTTTTTTTTTACTGTGAAGATGAAATTATTGTAATAGCATGAAGGTCTTGGGTCTGTGTGTCTATGAAGTGAGTCTGTACTGTGAGCTGATGTTAGAACTTTGCTGTGTTGCATCCCACTGGACCACCGGCTTATATTCAAGGGGCTACAATTATGTGACATGATTTGTGAATTTGTGTGCCCAGTAGCGGTTCTGGAATGAAGGTAGGAAACTAGAGTATACTCTTCGTCTAACCAGTGTCCACAAAACCAGTGTTGAATTTGGAAATATTTGGGCGGGGGTGGGGGGATGTATGCACAGGGCCTGTTGAGATGCATCTGTGGTGGTTCCTTAAGTGTGACAGGATCCTGAGAGTTTCCTATGACTTAGAATTCCTCTGGCATGTTTTTTAGTGTCTCCGGCTCTCTGAAAACCAAAGAGAGCCTGTCCCTGGCCTCACTCGAGAGAAAGACCCGCAAGGCAGAGCTGGGCTATGCGATTTCCAATTTAAGGAGAGACCAGTTGTTTATCTGACGACAGGCATATTGTTTTAAGATGGCCATGTCTAAATCGATAGATACAGTTCCCTCCCACTTTATCCAAGGAAAGGACACAAGGCAAGAGGGAGTTGTATCTGCCCCACATTATGCCATCATGGTCCTGTTCTTACTGGTCAGGGTGTCCTGCACAGCCTATCCCAGTGAGAGGGAGACAGGAATGGCTTGTGTTTATGCTACTGAGTTAGTTGGTCCATGTTGACTCTTCCTGGGCAGCAGGTGCCAGGCAGTTGTCCAAGCTTGTCTCTAGGCTAGGAGGAGCTTTGGAAATGCAGTTCCTGTGGCCTCTAGGCTTGAGGGGCTGGCTTTCTTCCTGGGGACCCCTTCTCAGGCTCAGATTAGATATTTTCATTTTTTTTTGTTGTTGGATTTTTGTTGTTGTTGGTTGGTTGGGGTTTGTTTGGTTGGTTGGTTGGTTTGGTTTTTGGTTTTTCGAGACAGGATTTCACTTTTTAGCCCTGGCTGTCCTGGAACTAGTTTTGTAGACCAGGCTAGCCTCGAGCTACAGATTTACCTGCCTCTGCCTCCCAAGTGCTGGGATTAAAGGCATGCGCCACCACTGCCGGCTAGACATTTTCATTTCTTAATTTAGCCTTTCTTTTGTCGTAGTAAACGTTGTGAGGATACGTTATACAATTTTTTCCCCTCTTTTCCCTTTTATTTTAAAGACCAGGTCTTATGTATCCTGGGCTGGCTTTGAACTCACAATGTAGCCGAGGATAACTTTGATCTTCCTTCCTCCACCTCCCAAATGCTAAAGTTACAGGTGTACACCAAGAGGTATGGTTTTACAATGTTAGGGACCAAACCCAGAACTTTTTTTTGTTTTTGTTTTTGTTTTTTGAGACAGGGTTTCTCTTTGTAGTTCTGGCTGTCCTGGAACTCAGAGATCTGCCTTCCTCTGCCTACCAAATGCTGGGACTAAAGGTGTGTGCCACACAGTCTGATAAGGCGTACACTATTATCTGGCTGCAACCCAGAACCTTATGCACGCTAGGCAAGCATTCTACAGATTGAGTTATATCCCCCTCTCTTTTTCTTCATTCTTTAGTCTTTCTTATTTTTTTTCTTTCTTTAGTCCTAGGGGTCAGGCCTCATGCATCCTTTAATTTTATTTAATTTATTTATTTATTTGGAGGCCAGTCTTTGAACTAGCATCATCCTGCCTTAGCCATGAAATGTTGGAATTATAGGTGTGTGCCACCTGTAATGTCTTTACCTCTTATAATCTCTGTAAGCACAAGAAGTTTTAAATCAGATCTTGCCTGATAATGCATTAGAAACTGATTTAATACCTGAGATTCAGCCTAAGGCAGAGGAGGTTTCCTGGTGGACCTGCTAGAGGCTGGTTAAACTCCATCTTTGGGGCCATCCTGCATACTGGCTTCTAACATTTATTTATTTTGCAGATTTCTATAGTTATCTGCTTTTTTTTTCTTTTTACTTTTGACAATTACAGTAATGTCACCAAAATAAGATTCGTATAGTTTGGAAACAACAGAATTCATGGACTTGGGAATTTAACTTAGTGGTGGAATCACTTGCCTACCAGTGTGGCATTGGTTGTGTGGTGGTGAGCAAACCTGCCTTCCAGAAGTGATGGCCTAGGTTTGATCCTTGGCAACGAAACAGGAAAAAGCAGGAAGGAAGGTCTTTTGGGTCATAGTTGGGCTCTGATGGAGTGCTTGTCCCATTGTTAGTATCTGTGAGCAGGGAGGCTATTCAAGGAAAAGTGTACTGCCAGCTCCTGCTTGGGTTCCTAAGAAACACAGAAGCCACGGAGCTGTGCCACTGAGCACCGTTCTAGGAGCCCTGTCTGTCTCCATCATTGGACCAGATACTTTTCCATGCCTGCCCATTGAGACCTGGTGCTAGTCAGAGTGAGTAGGGTGACCCCCACAGGTCAGTGGCAGCCAAGACTGGGTCTTTGCTGTCTCATTCCCCTTCCTTGTAAGTATGTGAGTGTTTTGCTAAGAGGAGAGGAATCATCTTCCCCATTTTTTGTGCATATCATCAGTAGTTTAAATTTCTCCCGTTTCTTATAGAAGCATGATGAATTAATAGAGAACTGAGCCCCACAATCTGTGAACATGCTAGCAGTGTGATGGTCCAAGCAGTGCTGACCACTCGCCTGTCCAGCAGGTGACGTCAGCAGGAGTCAGGCCATCGACTGTGTCTTCCACTCTGCCGTGAAGAGCCGAAGAGCCGTGCGGTGGGAGGGCTTGTGGATGTCTGGGGAAGTGGCCGCCTGCTTGCTCCTGTGGATACAGCATCTTGCCTTCTATCCCTCACCTGCCTCCAGAAGGCCTTGGCAGGGCTGCTTCAAGCAATAACACTGTTCGGAGAGCAACTCCTCCACGTGATATGGTGCCAGGGTTGGCCCTGTTAGGAGGCTGGGAGGTCAGGTCTTCAGGGTGTGAAATCAAACAGTGAGGGACATTTATTTCAGGCTTTGAACCCTGTTTTCTGTGAGCAGAGATTGGTCTTCACTGCCTGTGCCGAGAGGAGCTCTAAAGCAGGGGAGGTCTAAGAAGTGTCTTTTCCCTCAGAGTGTGCTGTGGTGGTCCTTCTTCACCACACTCCATCCATCGGATGATGCAGCTTTAACATGAATGTCACATTTTATTTTCAAGGAATTATTACCTTTGTCCCCTTTGTAAAGGAGAGATATTATTGTAAATCTTTTTATTAAATAATGTAAAGATGTATATCTGTATTTTTGGATCATGGATTATGGATATATTGTTTAATAAATAAAGTATTTTTGGGAAGAAACTTGTAAATAGGTCATTTTGAAAACAGGTCGGGGAATCTGTCTCAGCAGTAGGACACTTGTCTGACGTGTGCTGTGCCTCTTCTGGGCCAGGAACCTAACATGCGTGCGCGCACACACAAACACACCACACAGTTGATATCTGCCGGGGGTTTGCTCTTGGGTTGTAGGCAGCTGCCTCTCGTGCACTCACATGGCAAGGTGAGTGGGGCTAGGTAGGAAGGGAATTCTCTACTGTGTCTTCTAAATTCTTATTTTCGAGACAGGGTTTCTCTGTCTTGGAACTATCTCTGTAGACCAGGCTCAAATTCAGAGATCCACCTGCCTCTACCTCTCAAATGCTGGGATTAATTGTTAGCATATAGGTGTGAGCTGCCACTACCAGGTACGGTGGCACATACCCATAATCCCAGCACATGAGAGGTCAGGCAGGCTGATCTCTTAGCTTGAGGTAGCCTGATCTATATAGCTTGTTCCAGACCAGCCTGGCCTACATAGGCATACAGAACTTTTAAGCATGCTAGGCAAGTACTCTATCAAACAGCTACATCGCCAGTCCCCATGTGTTTATAGCAAGTTCTGCGGATTCCAACCAAAAGTCCCTACTTAGCCTTTATTACACACAGGTAGGCCCTGTCCCCAGTCACATTAGGGGTCAGGGCTTCCACACATGAATCTGGGCATACACAGATTACTGAGTTGTCTTAGACATTCCCTTGGACAGTGCTGAATTTCCAGACACCGGTTAGCATGAGGCCCAGCCTTTCACCCATCACGGGAAACTTTGTCAGAGGCTGTGGTTTTGTGGCAAGATGTTGTATTCTCCATGTATATCCAGGGTATCAGCAGTCACTTCCCAGGGTGGCTGTTAGGATTAAAGGAAAGTCCAGTTCTTGGGGTGGTGGAATAGGCAAGTGACTGACTGCCAGCTTATTTTTTTTGTTTTCTTGCAGATTTATTTATTTTGTTTTTTGAGATGGTTTCTCTGTGTAGCCTTGGCTGTCCTGGAATTTGATCTATAGACCCAGGCTGGCCTAGAATTCACATAGATCCACCTGCCTCTGTCCCCTGAGTGGTGGGATTAAAGGTTTGATCCTCCACTGCTGGCATGACTGACTGCTGATCCTTTAGTTTGTCTGTTCTTTGTTTTTTTCAGGTAGAGTTTCCCTGCGAAGCTCTGGCTATCCTGGAACTCACTATGTGGTGTCCAGGCTGGCCTTGAACTCAGAGATCCACCTGCCTCTGCCTCCTGAGTTCTGGGATTAAATGTGGGTGCCACCACCACCTGACATTTTTTAAAGATTTATGTTTATTTTACATGTATGAGTGTATGTCTACATGTATGTCTATGCACCATGTGTGTGTGCCTGGTCCCCGAAATGGCCAGAAGAAGTCATCAGATATTCTGAGACTGGAGTCGCAGATGCTGGTGAGCTGCCATGTGCGTGTTGGGAATTGAACCCCAGTCTTCTGGAAGAACAACCAGTGCCCATAATCGCTGAGCCATCTCTTCAGTTAAAACTGCTGATCTTAACTGGCTCTGAACTGTTACCAGTTCCAGGGGGCCAAGATGCTATTGGCCTACCAGGTAATGAGGGCTGTGGTGATCAGGTGCTATGAGTGTTCACAGAAAAGGACCAAACACCCTCTGGGCATCTTTCTAGTTCCTGACTGTAACTGACTGTCTAAGTTAGGGTTACTACTGCTGTGATGAAACACCATGAACAAAAGCAACATGAGGAAGAAAGGGTTTATTTCACCCACAGTTCAATATAGACAGTTCATCTCCAGAAACAGTGAGGGCAAGAACTCACACAGGGCAGGAGGCTGGAGGCAAGAGCTGATGCAGAGGTCATAGAGAGATACTGCTAACTGGCTTGCTCAACCTGCTTTTTTCATTTTTTCTTGCTTTTTTCTTATTTGTTCGTTCGTTTGTTTGTTTTTTCCAAGACAGGGTTTCCTCTATGTAATAGCTTTGGCTGTTCCAGAACTCACTTTGTAGACCAGGCTGGCCTTGAGCTCACAGAGATCCACCTTCCTCTGCCTCCCAAGTACTGGGATTAAAGGCGTACATATGCCTGGCTCATCAGCCTGCTTTCTTGTAGAACCCAGGACCACTAGGTTAGGGTGACACCACCCACAAAGGACTGTGTCCTCCTCCATCAATCACTACCTAAGAAAATGCCCTCCAGGGCGATTTTATGGGGCATTTTCTCAACTGGAGTTCCCTCCTTTCGAGCTTGTGTCAAGCTGACATAGAACTATCCAGCACACTGACATTCTCTATGCCAGTTACCCTCAGTGGCCTATGGAGTGAGGACCAACTTAGTATGAAGGGGCTAGCAGAAGCCTCCGGAATGTCCTAACCAGTACAGGAATCCTGATGCAGTTGTGACTTGGACCTGGACAATGCCAGGATGATGCACTGACCGTGTTCCAGTGCCCCTGTCTGACAAACCCGGGAGAGTGGACAGACAGACATCAGGGAACTGGCCTACTGAAGGCACAGCTTGCATCCTCCCCCTCCCAGCACACAGCATATAGCTACTGACCCCTAAGTGCTGCCTTCTCTTACCCAGTTTGCAAGGACTATCTGGATGCCTTGGCTTTTTCTCAGCGAAGCAACGCTATACTTGTAGTCTTGCCTCGGGAGCCTTCTGCTCTTCCTGGGACAGAGATCTAAAGTAGCTGGTGCAGAACCCTAAATTATCTTAACATCTTACAGAATGTGTTTCCTGGGCTTGTCCCGTGATGGTAAATGGAAGTGCGTAAGCTGGAAGAAGTAACAGCTCCTGGAGGTGCCCCAGGAAAACCGCAGTACCAGGTACTGCCGGACCCAGGAGGCCAGGAATTCTCTGTAGAGCTGGACTGGCCTCTGTGGTACCCGTAGGTCGTCCCAGCCCTGGACCTTGCTCAGTGAAGTGTTACTTTGAGGGCTGGGCTTTCGAAGTAGTGCCTATTGATGAACCTGTGATCTCAGGTGAGACGGAAGCTCGGGGAAGAGAGGAAGAGGGTAGAGATTTATAGGGGCGGTAGAGGTCCCTAGGGAAACAAAAACCCCTGGGGAAGAGAAGAGTTTCCAAGGGTGACAGGGTTCCTGGGGAAGGAGCCACAGTGAGATGAAGGAGCGGGCACTTAGCTTTTGGGGCTAGTCGTGTGGACCATGATGGGACCAGTTGGAAAAAGCGCTCGAAATAGGGAGTGCTGGGACATCTGCTGCGTGTAGTCAGATTCTGATCCAAGCAGAACACCCTCCTCTTTGGGACCTGGGGGGGTCTCAGGTCGGGTCAGGAGAGCTCACTGGGAAGGACTCGGAGGATTAAGTCTGGGCCTAAGGGCGGGGTTGGGAAGGGAGGGCCGACACATGCGCAGTCGCTTGCTTCATCCCGACTGGTCTAGGTCTAAGGTGGTGCAAGGGTGGGAACCTGGGTGCGTCTGCGGATTCAGTTTTTGCACTCGGACGGACGCTAGGGTGCGTAGTGGGCCGGCTGCAGTTCCGGGGTGGTGGGCGCTGGTGTCTGGGTCTGTGCCGCCGGGGCTGTGGCCTGTCAAGTGATTGCACAGGTCGGGAGCGAGCCGGGACTGCCGGCGGCGTGAGCCTATTTACAGCGTTTCCACCCGCAATGCTCCCAGGCCGTGCTGGCTAGGATTGCAAATAGCTTGTCCTCCCTGACGTCACAGCACATGAAGCATGCGCATGCATCGCGCATGCTGTGTTGTGGTTTTCCGTCTCAGGTAAGGCGGAAGTGGCGGCCAAGTAGAGGTTTCAGTTGGAAGGTGGCGTCTTCTGGATAAGCCTCCTGTGTTAGTTGCCTTACCCGGGCCAGTATACACTGTCGCAGTTCCCTTCCCTTCGAGACATTTTTGTTGATTACCCAGGCCTTTTAAAACTTGTGACAAAGTATACGTAAAATGTAAAATTTACCTTTCAACTGCTTGGGTGCACAATTCCCGTGATGCCTTTCTTTTGGGGCTTTAAAACCTAGTTTTGTAGCCGGGCGGTGGTGGCGCACGCCTTTAATCCCAGCACTTGGGAGGTAGAGGCAGGCGGATCTCTGTGAGTTCGAGACCAGCCTGTTCTACAAGAGCTAGTTCCAGGACAGGCTCCAAAACCACAGAGAAACCCTGTCTCGAAAAACCAAAAAAAAAAAAAAAAAAAAAAACAAACCCTAGTTTTGTTTTGAAGGGGAAGGGGTCTGGAAAAGCTGTTGCTGTTTGCAAAAGATAAAATATAATGCCCAGGAGTGAACGCACAACCACCAAGTATACACGAGTGAATTTACAGGGCTGATATGCTGGGTGGAACATTCAGAACCGAACCCTTCCAAGCATCTTATCCTCTATGTCCTGCAGCCTGAATCCCCTTCCTCTGTCCTTCTAGTGCCAAGCCATCCTGTTCCTCTAGGCGAGTGGCTCTCAACCTTCCTAATGTGACCCTTTAATACAGTTCCTCATGTCTGGCAACCATAAACTTATGTCGTTGCTGTTTCATAACTGTAATTTTGCTAGTGTTATGAACTATAATTTAAATACTGATATGCAGGATATCTGATAGGCGACTCCGCGACCCCAAAGGGGTGGTGACCAGCATGTTGAGAACCGCTGCTCTAGGCAATGTGTATGTGAGTTCATATATGGTACAGAGGCCATTGTGGGATCATTACTTTATTGCTCGTGAGTTGAAAGTTCAATCTTTATCTATCTATCTATCTATCTATCTATCTATCGGCAGGAGCAATGGTGTTCCATTTGGTGCCCAGATGTTCTGCAAGGCTCTTCTGGGCGTCATCAGGATGGAGGAGGACCTACATTCAGGGAGCCTCAGTGGGGCTGAAGTATCTGGGTTGCCCTCGGGATACGTACAGCCCCTTGGCTTGCAGAGGGTACTCCTCCGTCTCCGGCAGCCCTGAGGTGATGCTGACCCCTGAGCGATACCCAGTGCAACGGCTGCCATTTTCCACTGTGTCTGAGGAGGACCTGGCTGCCTTTGAAC